CCGCCAGCACCAGCTTTGGGCCCTGCCCCAACGAGTCAGATACCGGCGGAAGGTCAATCGACAAGAATATCTGCTTCTTGAAGCGCCTCGCTGGTGACACGAACCCAGAATGGCGACCGGCGTATCAGCAGGCCGCGAGGCGCGAAACATCGGTGACATGGCGACAGCAGTCGGAGTCAGCATAGCATCAGCTGGGAATCAACACAAAGTGCATCACCAAGTCGCTGAGCCATGGACAATGCGGCGTCAGTGCCCAACGACCGGAACAGTGAAGTTGCAGTGGGCGGTATATTTGAAGTTAACTTGTTCGAAGAGTTAGCACCAGCTTCATAAAAATAACACAACTTTGGGATATAAGCTCGCGTCACTTACGTCTCTAGCCGGCATGGCGCAAGCCCAGTCTTTTGCGAGACAACCCAGTGCGGGAGCATCTTTTATTTCCTCGGCCGCAGTGTCGGTCGTACCAACCCATATCATATACGAGTCTACGAGCCGAGTAACTTGAACTGCGAGAGTAGGCAGAGTAGGATCTGCTGGAGGAACAAATTTTGTCTCAACATGAATATTGAGTGCGCTCTCCATCATGGTTGACCATGCGTAGAGGCTGTGGCGGGATTCAAATTAAGTGCAAACACCGGCACTGTCCGATCACAATGTCGTGTGCGCCTCGTCCCAGAAAGGCAACCCCGACGCTTCTCTTCACACCTCATGGCGTCTTCTCAGAAACCTTATGTACACAACGTCGACCCACGAGGTAGTGACGGCTGTATCAGATGCCACGTGCACGGTGAACCTACCAAAAAGTTTACTAGTTACACTGCACTGAATCCAGACAGGTAAGATAGGCCCTCATTTGTCCGTATAGTACTCCCATCATTTTATGAATGAGCAGAATTTTCTATCGTTGTCCTCGGGACGGCGACGACCGGTGTAATACATTTAGTTGAGCTACACATTATTCAGACAGCATCTATGTATGCTGACTCTCGAGCAGTCTGGGCAGATGACCCGTGGGGTCAACTGGACCCTCGTTCTAGAGCACCTGAATCGAGCAATAACAGTACCAAAGTCACTCTCGGGAGTTCCCCTCAAAGCCCGCCAGCTCATACTCAATCAAATAAACGATCGCGATTCGACTCATTTACTCTGCCTATTACGCCCATGTCATCTCAGAGAAATCAGCCCAAGACACCGGCCGGATCGTCGCGGTTCAAGCCTGCCACAACACCATCTAGCTCACTTAGTGTGGTTGAACGGGAGCGTCGTCGTAGGAACATTGAAGCTGGTCTCATGAGCTCGCAGAAAGACTCAGATTCTGCCACCAGGCATATCACCAACACTGTCGGTCGGCATCATAGCAATTTGCAAAACATGCCAGCCTCAGGTTTTTTAAGTCAGGGAGGGGAAAATTACGTAGGCATTGGTTCCCGCAGCATTACAGCCGACAGTGGATGTTTTTCCTCAACAAAACGTTTTCGCGTGGACAACGACGAACTTGATGTAGATTCCTCTTTTCCCCAGCCTTCTACTTCAGACGTCTGTATTCAGATTGCTCTCGCTTGCGCTGATATCCCTGACGATGTCATACAGTATCCAGTTGATGAAGAGGAGAGGTTCTGGCAGTCACCTCCCCGTGACGAAGTCGGCTCAAGCAGCAGGGAACCAATATTGCGCCTGGCAGACATCCTACCTAACCCCCAGACTCCCCCACGAGAATGTAGTTCACCAAATTACCTTCATCTAGACGAAACTCCTCATAGCATGAGCGGCAGAACTGGGATTCTGACTCCTCCATCGTCAGGCTTGACGTCCGGACATGGGGTGGGCCCATTATTGAATCAATCTGACCAGTTTCCCCAGGACTCACCGACGACGCGCAAAGGCAAGGAACGAGACGATCGCCGTCGCCTTTTATCACAGTGGGAGAGAATACAGGACGATCCGGTATGTCGCCCCAGGCTCTACCTCTCATACATGGCCCGAAAAATATTACAGGGCAGTCCATTCCACCAGTATGCCGCTACAGTGCGTCAGGAATTAGAATCAGAGCCTCAATCGCAGAGGTCCATCCAATCTCTAGCAGACCCTTCCGCAGTTGAGGACGCGGTGACAGCGGACTCAGCTGCCACACATTTAGCTGAGCTTGCCAACTTGCCGGACCATATCCGCAAGCTCGAGAGAAAGCAAGCGGCAGCACAGAAGAGCATTGACGCAAAATCGAGGAGAATCAAAGAGTTAGAAGACATTGTTAACACGTCCGTGTATCGTATTTCTCGCCCATTCACTGATCTCCTACCCCATTGTTTGACAGGTTGAGGGCAAGGAACAGATTCCTTGAAGAGACTGTGGAAGCCCTGAAGACAAGGCGATAGGAAGGTCGAGCCGGACCTAATTTCATGTACCAGTCGTCCCCTTTGTCATGCACAGCGCTCTCATCATCTTCTTGGCCAGTCTAGTGCGGTGTACGATATCGATGAACGGGCCACCTATTTGTGGCCATGCTGAAACTTATCTTCTATGCCTCTTCTCTTAATACCTATCCACTAATGCTAGGCTTCGAAAGATTCAAGTACTGGTTTGATCTCCCGCTGTGGAGCAATAGTTACCATTTCGGGATTCGCATCTTCGAGCTTACTTTTTACTCGCGATGCCTATCGCGCAGTCGCCATATGTTCGGTTCCAATTCTAGTCTTGTTCCCTTGTATTCCTTGCCTTCGAAATAGCATATCATCACTGCACAACGTGAGCATAGCCAGATCGGGGGAATAATGGCTGCTATCTCATAGGTACGCACATGCGTCTAAAGTAGTCAGCAGTCACAAGGTATTCGGATTTTCATCAATCACAGAAGATATTTGAATCGCGGTGCCGCTGTCATGTTGTTGTGTCGTAATGATGCTGAATAGTGACAGGGCGGATGCCGCATGCCTGGCCGCCCGACAATAGCCCCGAGTAGATGAGGAAGGCCGTTCGTCTGTGGCCTCGCCTCTCCGAGGCCTTGCTATGCATGTGCAGATGCAGTCATTCAACATCCAGGTTCATGACTCAACGTTGTGGCCTCGAAACCATTGACATAAGCCTGCGGCCGCAGTGATCCTGACATGGTCCGGCGGAAGAGCGATGCCGACCTAGAATCAGACTCCCGACAGCGGCCGCAAGAATTGTAACATTTATTCGGTCTCGTTGCATTTAATTGTCAAGCGGTAACATTCTAGAACCATTCCGCATAACATTGTACGAAGTAACCAGGATTCTACCGGAACTAACGACGTCAGGGAACGAACGTCAGCGATTCGGACCGGGAAGGATCCTGTTCGAGCAACGATAGGCAGCAGCCCAGAGGGAATATTCCCTAGGAGAATGGAATGGACACACTTTCGCATAGATTTCCGTCAATTCCATCAGATTCTTGGTATAACTCGTAGATTTGGGATGGCCACATCCCGGCAGGTCTCCCTGCACATGCCAGTTGCGGCCGCTACTCATGACGATCATTCTAGTGTCAGCCGACGTCGACGCGGAGAACTAACTGAAATTACGATTGGGGTGAAGTAAGAAATAAGCGAATGTTTGCAGACATTATTTTCTCACTTGCGCACGTTGATCCCCAAGGTATAACAAGTGGCAATGAACTTCCTGCAAATACCAGTACAGAGTTTCAATTCAATCAGTGAAGACAGGTTCCCGGCCTGAAATATCGACAACACGCAGAAGGCGATATTGTCTCCTCAAACTGTGTTCGATCAAGGACGAAGTAACGAATACCGAAAAACATCACGGTGGTGGTCGACTAATTAGCGCTCTTGACCCGGGAGTGCAATGATAGCACCGCAAAATGGCATCCTTGTCCTGGTGGTAAATAGAATACTTTAAATCTCCGGGCAGAATGAAATTACCTCGGATACATGAGGTCCAAGTGGCCGTGATTGTCTGACCCATCTGACGCAGCAGCCTCGTGGAGCCAGTTGATTCGAGGGTACTCTGGATGCCCGAGGGGCCCGAGAGGAGGCATGAAGAGTTTTCTACATTGGGGGAGTTGGTCAATATTTCGCACCCAATTGCGGCTAGGGGCTATCATACGTGCGTGTACAGTGTGGGGCCGTTCATAGCTCCAACTTACCAATACGAGCCTGTTCCAATCTGTTATCCGCGCGTGGTGGCGGCAGGACATCAGGATGGTTGCCGTTTTCTGTCCGGTGCAGAGTTCTGCATGGCGCCCCGTTTGTCGCCACAAGGGTACAAGTCTTGGCAGGTTATCGCAAAGTCGGGCACACACTAGCCGCCGTGGTCAATGAAATTGGATGCATTCAATCATACACCGAAACCCCGTTTGAGAAGAGTGGCACACGCTATGGCAATTCCAGTGGTGGTACCTAGATCGATATTTTCCCAAGGCGCTCTCTCTTCGTACGACTCTGAGGGCAAACTCAACCAGAACCAACCCTTGCCGTAGTCGGCATCGACAGCGGCCCGTCGCGCAACCTGATGAGCTCCTGTGTAAGCAAACAGATTTTGCGACTGACTTACTCGCAGTCGGTGCTTTGAATGGACTGCTCCCAGATCTTGTGATAGGACACAATGATGGACGAGCCTTCTGAGAAATAAAGCGAGTAGACCGGCCGCTCCGGTCCTAGTCCACCATCCTAGTCTCCAGAACCGCATTGTGGTATCGCTGTATATGAGTGATCTCTTGTCGCAATGCTTACATCAAAGCAAAACGTACAGCTTCGCATTGTCAATACAGGGTATCCTGGCAAGAAACGACGCCGTACAGACTTGTATCACAGGTACAGTGTTCATCTGGTACGTCCGAGGCGATCGAACGTCGTATCGGACAGGGTGGCTAAACAAGAGCAGCTGCGTGTGCAGTATCAGAATCCATGGGCAGTCCGAATGTAGCAACAGTATCCGTGAATAGGTGAAAGAGAGAAAACGGTACTTCAAGATGGACGCTCACAGGAAGGACTGGGGTGGCTACAACCTTGGAGTTGCGACAACTAACATAATAGTCTCTGTAACCACAACTTGAGCCGAGTCCACCATCCACCCTGCCAGCCTACCGCGCGCACTTTCTTCCCGACCCACATTGTTCCGGTGCCAAACCTGATTCGTTCACTGTGGTCTGATGATTCTTCACCTTCTTCGAGATCATGCAAATGCCGTGACTGTGATGGCGCAGGAAATCGCGGCAGAGTGCTGCGCGTAATAAAGGCAGGGAAAACGGATAGCAAAGAGATATACTCAGGATTGGGGAGATCAGGAGCAGTCCAAATACGCATATACTGATCTGCATCTGAGAACTCTGTGCTCATTGAATTTGAAACAAGTAAAGCCTCGCCGTCCGCGGGAGTAGTGGGAGTTAGAGGCTCGTCTTTCAAGACCGTGGTATTGGCGGACGAATAAGACGTCGACAAGGCGGGTGTATCCAGGAAGGGATCGCTAGGAGCTCGTGGACGTTTGGTCTGTGTCGTTGACGTGATTGGTGGATGTGTGGAAGGACGTGGTGGCGGAGAAGATGCTGTGGGGATTGGCTGCGACTGGGACCTTGAGTGAATGGTCGACAGCGGTGGGCACGCCGAATATGGCGTAACACCGGCTAACGAAGAACCACTTGAGGAAGATACATCCTCGAAGGCAAGCACCTAGGCCAAATCAGCAACAGAGACCAATCACGTAACTGGAATGGCTTGCTCACTCCTTTGAGAACATCAATGGCCTCCAGCATGAAATCTTTACCGCTAGGTGACGGCGAAAGCCGAGGGCGAGCATTAGACAACTGGAGAACCAGTGCGTGCGTCGGACCACTCACGCTGCTTCCTTGAAGACTGCATCATCAATTTCCCACTCGATCTTATAGCCTCCAGCACCTCCGAGATGTTCTGGAATCACTTGAAGTCTCATGACTGCCCAAAGACCTTCAAAGAAGGGCTTTGTACCAGGCATACCCATAGTGCACCAAGTACCGACAAAGCGCTCCAGTCTTTCAAGACGTTCCTTTTTCGCCAACTGACCTCCGGGATCAGCCCGGGAATGAGGCATCAACGAGCCTCCAGGTATGGTAGCGCTAAGATGGGCTCTGAATTCAGCGTTGCGACGGGCATTGACACTCGCGTGATAGGCAGAGCGTATAGATGCCTGGAGCCTGGAAAATGGAGCACGTTGCGAAGGAGGAAGGGTGGCCAGGGTATGCGTCATAAGACGGCCAGCATTATCACTTTGCTCGAAATACCTACAACGGATATTTATAGCATTTCCGCCGACGCTATTGGTCAACACTCACCAAGCTCGACAATTCTCCGCAAAGGCTTCTATGTCAGAGTGATTGGGCTGCAGAGGTGTGGTCGAGCGAGCATGACCTGATAGAGGAGGCGTAAGCCCTCGACCGTGAATTCCCGACCGAGGACTAAAAGATGGAGACGTCGGAGACCTGAAAGCAGGTGACGACTTGGTGGGTCCTGAAGAGAGCGGGGGATTTGAAGATATGTCATTGTATATTGAATGAGTGGATTCTTGTTGGCGCAGTGGCAGGGGAGAGTGCAAGCCGGAGGTGCGGATCGGCAGGGGCGGAGGACGAGGGCGAGGTGTCTCTAGTCTGTAAGATGGGGCGGACATGGTGGGTGTTCAGTTTATCCCCAAAGGCTAATGGCAGCGAGGCTGGCGTAGGAAGATGTACCGCGTCGCTGCTGTATAGCTGCGGTGATGAGTGCAGGGGACAGTGAATTCCACTGCGACCAAGGATGATTCGCAATCCGACTAATCAGTAACCATATAAGGAGCAAGACTCAAGCATATAACGTCCAGCGTCGTGTCTCTGAGGCTTGTCGGTGAGCGAGAAGGATGTTCCAGTCGCTGCAGCTCACCGTTACCGGCAAGGCGTTGGTTCCATCCACTGAGGCTGCGACGTGCCTCAAACTGTCGGGTTATCACGTGCCCTTTTGCACTCGAGCTTGAATAATATTAATACAGCAAGTAAAGTAAATCGTAAATTGGATTCGGTGAGTTTCTGTCTCGACCTCGAGGCCGAGCACCTTGAGTGCCAATAAAGCCACAGCAGCATGTGCGCACCGTTGACACACACTGGCAGCCACGACATACCGTGAGCTGAGGACTGCAACCAGTGCCTCGCAATTTGCCCGCTGGAAGATTGTCGCGACGTCTTCTGTCGTCCTGGATTCCAAGAGACATATACATTGCGAGCTATTGTCCAATACCGTTCAAGATGTACCAGAGCATCGTGGTATGTCATCTGCTTTGCCTTGTCACGGTACTTGCTTACTCGAAGAAGCTTCTTTCTTCACCCTGGCGCACACACATATCTGGCCCCAGTCTGGACTTCCCTGGCGGAGGGATTTCGCCACCATGCATGTCATCGGATACGACGGCGGTCCTGAACTTTGCCATCCCAAATTCTCCCGAGGTTGGGCGCAGGCCATTCGGCGATCTGCGGGTGCACAAGATGCAAAGTAGATTGCGATACCCTCGCTGGGAGCCACGTTCCGCTCCTATTCTATATGGAACCCACGATCGACGGTATGTACGTGGCTGAAGCGACCGCCCTCTATTTGCTGCAACCCTCCTGGAGGTCTTGGTCATCGTTATGGACCTCAGGACGCTCTGATGGCTTTCTTGGCAGCGTCGCGGGCGTCTTGCGTCCATACATTTGTCTCCCATCCCGAATTTCGCCCGTCGCCGTCATGATTGCTTTCTCCCTCTGCGCATTGTCATGCCGGGAGTTTGAACACTTCTTCGAGCGAGAACGGTGAAACGTCTGGACATTCGTCGACACTGCGTCGGTCATTTTTCACCGAGTTATGCGGATTATGCTGGTGGTCTTCTAGCACCGGCAACCGCCCATCCGAATTTTTTCCGCCTCAGCATTAGCTGGATACTGTGCCCCATCGGCCCTGATTCTAAGCCACCATACTGAGAGAGCTTCTCGTGGGGATTTATCTGCGCACGGGACTTAGACTCCGCTTTATCCGTCAAATTGCTGAGGTCCTCGTTAAGATCTTCCGGTTTTGCTTGGTACGCATTTTGAGTGGCCAGGGCCGTGCCACTGGCATTTTGGGGTGGACGGGATTAATGGAATGAAAACTATTCGACAATAGACTAGATTATTCGTCCAGATCCCGTAGACTGATGTCCAATGATTGCCGCCTAAACAACCTACTCATCCTCTAGCAAGACACATCAATGCACTGTAATTGTCACAATCCTACAGATTTTGCGACCCCGGAGTCAATTAACACGGGGATTGTTTATGGTTATTCCACTGGAGCTCGAGGTGGTTCTAAATTGTTCCTAGAAGTATGGCGAGGCTAACTTTCTCGCCACTCTTCGGCAGACCTTGAGCGCCACGATGGTAGAAAAGTGATTGATAGCCCCTTCGAGGAATTGGGGCGCTACCATCATTACTCCAAAGTGAGCTTCTCGCAGCTGCACCGATACATTTTCCGATCAGACGGATGTCGGCGAGTGGAATGGATTACACGCCTAGAAAAATCGGCCTAGACAATTTTCGGCGGAATGTGTTTTTTGGGACACATCATACTCGTGGATATCAAAGTTCTTCTCCCTTATGCGCTCAGTGTTCCAGCGGGCTGCCCGTTGCCCATCAGGCTACCCGTCCACGACTGCTCGATCCATAGCCTCATCTGCGCCACACGTCAACGTGAAGTGAGGATGTCGCTTGCTCGTGAATAAATTCGCAGTAAGTGCAGCCCTAGGTATGCTCTGTTTTCGAACCAACTTTGTCACGATTGTCCTAGAAACTCGAAGTTCTGTGCAGCGGCGTTGCAGCCTGAAAGATCCCATGAGACTGAGATCAGGCGCGAGCTGGCTCCAGCTTACTCGACTGCACCGGCCCTTGCCTCAATAGGCTTCAGTCACTTTTAACAAATACGCTTACCGATTAGTCGCCATCGTCAGCGGTGTATCATTCCCGGGTGGTACGATGAGATGCGTATGCAGCATTTTGCATATCTTCAAGGCAGCATAATCATCTGTTTCAAGAAGTCTATATTTGTCACCTCCATTTACATTGATGTAGATGGGTCGTATGCTCGGTTGAACTTCGAGTAGCTCCATCGGTCTGTGCACTCCTCGTGCAGTGAACTGAGGGGCGACCTCGCGGGTTTGTCGAGAAGTATGGCGGGGGCCGTGACATCTTTGATATGCCTCAGCACCTGGTGTCCGACATGCTGCGTCGCATCCTTCGTCATCTTGCGATGACAATGACCAATTTCTTCGAATTCCTTGACAACGTAGGATCCGGATTACTCCGCCCGTGCTCGTATCGCGCAACTCCCAACTTACAATACGATGAAATGCTACTAAATTTCAAAGACATAGTTACGTCACGCTCTGCGACGATTACCGTCCTTTATGGCTCCACTTGCATTCACTGAGGTACTGAACACTCATTTGGGGTCTCAGGTACACTTGCAGCTCCAGCGCCTCTAAATTGTCCAATGTCAACGTAACTCAGCATCAAGGGTTAGATCGAATTACTGCGATTTACCAACCGTCAGCCTCGGAAGATATATATACGCGGCCATTTCCGTCCATTTCACGTTACCATGAATCAATGATCAAGCTTTCAACCCAGTGATATTTCGTCATTAGCCAATGACCTGATCCAGGGTTATCTCGACCATCATGTCGGCCGTAAAGTCTCATCAAGGTTGTGGCCCCGCAGACATTGACAAACCTGTCGCGTCATAATTCACCCTGTTGGGGCGGCACCTATGCGAGAATTGAGAATTCTGATAGAATCCCGCACACCGTATACAGAACGATTCGCAGAAGCAAGTAATATAAGTATGTGAAAGATGAAAGGGTAACGAGACGCGCTGAGTTCGTTGTCTGAATTTGCCGGTGCCGTTATACGATAGGGCTATCATCTGTTTATGCTCCATCAGGGGTGGAATGGCTTTGTTTACTTGGCACAACCAAGATGACGCACATAGCGAAAGAACGAAATAAGATTGCACCATTGCGAGGCCGACGCTACACGGATATAATTCGCCACAAAATGTATTGAGAAGCACGACTCACCGACGGAAGCAGACGAATCTGCTTCCGGGCCCGGGGGTTGAAGCGTCTGTCGAGTCGAGCGTCGAGTGCTCGGACGATGAGTATGGACTAGTGAGTTCACACCAATCATCCACGGCTGACATTGAATGCGATCTTCGTCGTGCTCTCCCGCGGGAGCTGAAGAGGGACGGGGGCACCGCTGCATTGGTTCATATCTTTGAAAGTGGCGAGCGATGCACACATGGCACACTCGACAGCTCGACCCATTTGGATCTGTCCAGACGCACTTGCTGGGAGCATTGGCACTCATCCACCTGGAGATATGGATATGGCACGCCCCAAAAGTATATGCACATGCACATGTGCGATTGTCGATGATGGAGCTTCACTTGTTTCCGAGGCTCTCTTCCGAGCTCTACTCCGGCTCGCATTGTCCGACCCCTGCCGACAAGTGGAAGGAACATATCATGACATAGCGCCAGAAGAGTGGCGTTGTATCCGTGCTAGCGATAATCTGAGCCAGAGTTTGGATGTACGTACCCGAGCCCAGTTACGGTACGGAGGCGTAGAGTCAAGCACCAGATCTAGGAACCAATCCGAGGAACCTGGCTCGAGGGGGAAATTGAATTAACTTGACAAGCCGAATGTCAGGATTGCCGGGAGGTCAAAGGGAGTCAAAGCGGTAGGCTGTGAGGAGCTTGAATGCACCTGAATCAACACACAGGAGTCGGCACGACAATGTGCAGTTAAGCCATGCTGCAGGAGAGCACGACGAGATGTTGGACAGGTTGCTCTACGTGATCAGCTTATTCATCCACATACTGCGGACGGCCGGTCAAGAGTGGTTCGCAAAATTACCGGGCGACGGAAGGACAGGTGCCATATGGACGACAGATACCGATGCCGTATAGCGCGCTCTTGCGATACCCGGGCCGTTCCGTGTTGTCTGTGGCATACCAGCTGGAAGCGTCGGGTTCTTCTGCGGGGAATATCAGGAGAATGCCCTAGTCCAAGTTCGGAGGACAAGAAGCGAGGGGGGGCAGGATAAATCTTGGGTTTGTTAGGGGCACATGTGACGTTGGGGGATTCTTGAGGGTTCCGACAATGTGGCTCAGTCAAGCCATTGAGTTGGATAGGAAGTCGTCGATCAGGCAGACGAGGCACCGTGACTGGCCAGCGCTGCACTCTTGAACGGATGAAGCGGGTGCAGCGACCTCGGATGGTGATGGGATGGAAATACATCGGGAGGACAGCTGCGAGGATGGGTTCGTGTGCATCGCGCAAGCCATGATGCGACGATGCGCAGGAGACGGCAAGCCAAAGGAAGGGGCGAAGGGGGTAGTGACTGCCGGTCACAGCATGCGCGATGGATGCGACGCGGCATTGATCTGGCGTTGGGCGTTGTTCCTCCCGGTGAAGATTAGACCCAGCCGTCGACGGTCAAATAATGTAGGCAAGTCCGCCGACGTGATAACGTCAAGGGAGAAATGGTAGAACACGGGGCCAATCGGACGAGAGGAGCAGAAAGCTCGGAGCGGAGGCAGTCCAGCCGGACTGGAGAAGGGTGGCAATTGGTGGAGGAGGAAGAGCTTGTGGTGAGAGGGCGTGAGTAGGCAGAACCGGTGATAGAGCTGCTGATGGAACGGCGGGCTGAGATTGAGTACATGGAAGGGGGACAGATGGAATCGCAGGAGACGACGGGGCTGATTGATACGTAGGCAGAGTTCCGGGAAGCACGGCTTCCTAACAGAGAGGAGGCAACAAACGGCTGCGGCGTAGAGCGAGCGTATAAATAACGCGGCCGGTGGAGGTCGATTCTAGACAATCTCTGCTCGCCGTGCAGCGCGCTCTGCTCGACTTGGACCTCGACCTCGATGGCCTCTGCCACCACCTGGCTCATGCACTCGGCATCTCCCGACCGCCGATCAGATTTTGGTGCGCTAATTTACCGTATTTAATATTATCTATCGTCCACCGCGACGCGCCCCGGCGTCTCCTCCCGTCTCCCCTCAAAACAAAGGCACTCATCCGTCTCCCTCCAGATCTCCTCAAGCCCGCCGCGCCTCTCGCCTACGCGCGCGACCGCAAAATGTCCCTCGACTTCACCCCCGCAGGCACCCCCCAGAGCCTCTACCCCCCGCCCGACCTGGATCATCCCTTCAGCTCCCTTCAGTCCTCCGCCGACCTCGCCTCTGCCTCCCACTCCGCCCCCCATCCCAACGGCCACCTCCACATGAACCCCCACCCCCTCGATCGTGTCGATGGCCTCGACGTCGCCGACCCGGCCAGCTACGACATCTTCTCTACCGGCCAGCGCTTCCGCACCAACACCTCCTCCATCAATCCCGCCTACAACCTCGGCGCAGATTCCATGTACTCCCACAATGGCTTCTCCGACGCTCTCCCCCCCTTCCCAAACTCAAACTCCGGACCTTACGATCTCATGGGGGGTCTGCCGTCATCATACAGCAGCGGTAAGCCCTCCCCATTGACACCCAGCGACGGCATGGGCAACTTTTCCCATCCTCCCGGCTTCTCCTTCTCCAACGGACAGCCCAAAGACTTCTCCCACAACCCCTTCCAAGACGGCCGCCCAAACAATGTCGGCTCAGGTGGCTATCAGTCCGAGTTTGGTGACGATTTCGGCAGCATGGGTGTCAATCCTGGCATGGCTCTGGGCGGATTTTCCTCTTCTCAGCTTCCTCAATTTCAGGGGCGCATGCAATCAGATTCGCGCTTCTCTGCCCCCCTCATGTCTCCTCTCTCCGTCCCTCACATGCACCAGAATCCTGGACAAGATCTCCTTCGAGGTGTCAACCCCCACTCTACACACGCCTTCAGGTCCGAGGCGGGAGCGCAGTCATACGATGACATGCAATATCTACAGTCTAACCCTCAAGTCGATTTCCCTCTCCGCATGCCAGGCATCGACTTGTCGCGCATGCGACTCCAGCAGTCTCCCGCTGCGGCGACTGACTTGCAGACCTTCATACGGTATGCGTCATAGTCTCTCCGCTATCTCAATTGATATGGACCGGGGTATATGCAGCCCATACCTGGACCAATACGTCCGCTCCCCAAATCGCTTAGCATTTGGCGAGCGCACCGTCATCGTCATGTCAAGCAAGGTTGCTCAGAAATCCTATGGCACTGAGAAACGGTGCGAATACCCCGTTCCTTTTGTCTTAGTCATGAATCCTAATGCGCCCGAATCAGCTTTCTTTGTCCTCCTCCAACAGCAATCATGATTGGGAACTCCTGGTGGTCAGATGTCATGCGGCGAGGTGAAGAACCTAAGTTATGTCCCCCGCGAGTGGTTATCTCCATCTCGGGCGAGCCAGCGCCTCAGGAGGGTACTATCGAGTGGACGGGCGCGACTGGAAAAGCCTTTGATGTTTCAGATCCGCCAACTGGCACGACCTATCTAGGCCGGTGTGTAGGCAAACAGCTTTTCATCTCCGACGTGGACGAAAAGAAGAAAAAGGTCGAGGCACTGGTCAAGATCATGGCCCCGTCTGCTGAAGACGAACCTGAGCGGGTTATCGGAACCTTTCCTAGCCGTCCCATCAAGGTCATCAGCAAGCCGAGCAAGAAGAGGCAGAGCGCCAAAAATCTCGAGCGTAAGTCGGCGCTCCGCATTGCGTTCGGTTTCACGTAATCCTGGCCGCTGATTGTATGGTATTGTAGTCTGCATCAATCATGGGTCAACAATCTCCTTATTCCACCGCCTTCGGTCACAAACTGTCTCGACAAAATATCTCTGCGTGTCCGGGTCCGGGTCATCGTTCAAGGGTTCCGATGGTGCTCCGTTAATGGGTCTAGATCAGCGTGTCCGAACACAGACACCGTCCTTCATTGCGAGGACCGCTAGCTGGGGTAAAAATCAGTGACAGATTCTACCAGATTCTGATTTTTCTGACGGTAGTTGTTATGGCTAGATCCGTTCCTCATGTACATCGTTGATGTCAACAAGCCGGCTGGCGGAGTTGACTCTCCACCACCTCCCCCCTTGCAACCTGACTATCCTTCTCCCCCTCCCAACGCCATACCCTTCACAAACAACGGGTCGCAAATCCCCATCTACTACAATCAAACTGTCGTCCTGCAATGCCTGGTTTCTGGCGTCGTCAGCCCGGTATTGATTATACGAAAAGTCGACCACCAGACGATTGTTGTTGGTGGGGGTCTGCAAGAAGGAGCAAAAGGTATCGCTGACCACTACTGCGCTCCTGGAGAAGTGTGTGGCGACCCGGTATCACAGTTGCACAAAATTGCTTTCGAGGTATACGATCCCAACCGCGGCGCACCCGACCCTGGGTCCCCCGGCGTTAGCGGAGCTTTCCTTTCGTGCATGGGCGAGAAAGTTAATACCTACCGCCCTGTTGATGGCCGCGTCTGGAATGCTGCGCCCGGCTCCGCATCGCGAGAGAGCGACTCGCCGACCGCTCCCGGCTCCCCGAATGAGGCCAATACACCAACGTCGGCTTCTGGCTCCGCGGACTACTTCGGTTCGACACCAGGGAGCATGAGCAGTGTCCCAACGTCCCCAGATGTGACGGACTTCCCGTCGAACGATGGTGGTCGCGTCAAGAAGGGCAAGCGTGGGTCCTCCAGCACTGGGGGCATCTCGAAGCCAAGCTCGCAAAAGGGCAGGCGTCGGCCGACTTCTGCTGGTTCAGCAGGCTCAAGCCGTCGTGGGTCAAACGGTGAGGCCGCTGTGTCGTCCGGGGCGCTATGGCAGGTCGACATTGGGGAGACGAGTGTGTGGACGATCGTCGGGACCGGTGAGCATCGATCTGCGTCTTCTCTTCGGCACCCGCTCTTAAACAACATGCTGATCGTCGTTCTCCAGACCAAATCAGGTACAACTTCTACGTGCCTCCTGTGCTGTTCGACAACCAGAACGCGTCGCAGACTGGATCATTCCCCATCCCCACGAAGCCAGTGACGCCCTTCCCTGGTGTGGTGAAGTATCTCCCTCCGGATCGCGCTGCTGAGGCCCCGAAACACCACACGTCTGCGCGAGCCGCGCTCGCGAAGCCCAATCCGCACATCTCGAAGATGTTAACCGTTTACGGTGAGAATTTCTCGAAGACGGATCCGGTCACCGTGTTCTTTGGGTCAGAGCCGTCGCCATATGTGGAAGTGCGGTGCGGAGAGGTGCTTGGTTGTTTGCCGCCTGAGTCGCAGAACAGCAAGAGAAGGCCAATAATTCTGGTCCGGTATGATGGCGTCGTGTTCCCTTCAAGCGTATGTTATCCGTGATGCTGTTGTCATCGTAATGGACAGTTCCTATGCCTATGCCTGTCATTTCTGCCTTTAGCGCTATTGTTGGATACTACGGCTAATCTCTCTCGTATATCACTATCCATTTTTATCTCCCGTCTGTAGTCTTCTCACATGTCTCCGCTGGTAGGATATAGGCCTGTACTTGTATCATAGATCCAGTCACTGTGCATTTATAGACGTCTTTTGCGGTGCGCATACACTCGCTTTGACCCTTGATGCGCGGAGCAACAATGCCCTTGCCTACGCTTCATCCTCCCAAGCGGTCGAGTGTGTCGACATGCGCTGGGTACTTCGAACCGCTTTGATTTCAGTTGCGAATTATGGGTGAGTGGACTGATGTCATAGCGATTACCATATGAGGAGCTCGCAGGCGGCGGCGGCTAGTGGCTCATCCTCGACGGCCTCAACCACACACATGCTGTGATGAACGTCCTCTCCGCACCCAACTTGCTCTGGAGTCTGTATGTCGACTACCTTTGGAACTACCAGCGAGGATCATGGGTCTACAGCGTGGCTTCGACATTTCGTGTACTAGCGTTTACCATCATAGTCCCCTTCGTCCTCCTCACTTTGTTGGTATGCATCTCAAAAACATCTACAATCGCTGCTTTACGCTCATTTAGCACTCATGCTGGGCCTTTCCTTGTAGGACGTAGCGTCGTACGTTATAGCACGCACTCTCGGCGTCATCGATGAAACGAAGGCGTCGACGAGCGAAACGGTCGCCGGCGAGGCTCCTACCGCGGAAAAGAGCGCGGCGTTGCGTTCTACTCCTGCATACCTTACGGTTCCGCCCCTCGCCTACTTCCGCAACCCTCTGGAGGAAGGAAATCCTCGACTTTCTGGCGTGGGCATGTTCTCGCCCACTCCGTCGCAGCCACCCTCCCCCACCATGTCGCGCCGCGAACTCAGCCAACACATGCATAATGTTCCGGAGAAGAAGCCCGACCATGGGCGAGGCCCCTATGAAACCCACCGAGAGGCTTCTAGGGAGTCGAGCAGTGGGGAGTCGTCTTACACGTTGTTGGAAGCGGAGTCGGGTCCCGAGGACGCTCAGCTGACCCTTCGAAAGAGGGCGAAGCAGCCAAAGATACAGTCAGAAAAGGCCTCGGTGTCATAGCACTGGCAGGGAGGTTGCCAACTGAGCCAAAACGGCACTGTTTCGCGGTTTGTAATTTTATCATTCAATGGTATTGTACATCATTCGCAACGCACAGCCCATGCGTAGTATATAACACCCGCCCATAGCCCATACCCTTACCACCCAAACCTCAATTGGTCCCGCGTGAAGACGGGTGGTTTCCAGATCAGACACTCCGGATGTATGCGTCGTCTGCGTTTCTCCATGGTCTTCTTGTGACGTTCCTGGATCGCTTCCGGGATGCATATGACGTGCTGTCCCTTATAGTGTTTAAATAGCTGCAGCGTCTGACACCTGTGGGGATAGAACGGCGGTGACGAGTAAATCGGGCACACGATGATCCTAGCCAACGTTAGGTGCACTCACGTATTCATCACGTCCGCATGGGTGATTGATGTCTTCTGCGCAATGTCATCGATGCTGATGTCGTCCGTAGTATTCAGTAGCAGCTCGATTATGGTTTCTGCCCAGTATGCGCGATACCCCAGAAGCCCCAGATCACTCAGCGGTTTCTCCGGGCTACCGAGCTTGCCTTCCTTCTTGCTGAGTTCATAGGAGAATTCAATGAGAATTTTTCCGTACCCGTGCCTCTGATGCTGCGGTAGTGTCAGGATACAAGCGACGTTGTAGTTGTCCGCGGACTCCTTCTCCTTCGAGAAGTAGCCGATAATGTGGCAACCTGTAGAATCTCGGAAACACTAAAATGTATAACCTGATGAGAGTGCAAGGCCACTGAACGCGCACAGCCTTACCATGACATAGTATAGAAATGGTGTAACATCATAATACAGGGTTTTACTAGCGGCCAATTCAGCACAGACTGATTGGCAATGAGTGATACTCACTGATCAAGAAAGCATTTGGACAATAGGCTCAGATTACGACACCACGCGAGTTGTCGCTTGCCGTCTAGCTCAAAGAAGGAGATATTCTCGTGTCGATAGATTTCGTTACCGGGAGGATGAAGCAAGTTGCATCTTCGCCGGTGGCGAGACAGCATGAAAGGAGAACCAAAGTAGGACAAGCAGAATTCGCAAATGTAGAGAATGGGGAGATGAGCATACTCTTGCGGATATGGACTGAAATACCAGGCATCGATTTCGTGTCGTCCAATCTGCAGTCGATTTAGATTCTTGACTCGCGCGATTTCCGAAATCGACTGCGTCATAGATCCGGATGTTCGCAATTTCTCGATTTCTTGTTCCTTGCTGAATGAGGAGACAGGCGGAGGCGGAGGTGGAGTTTCATTTGCATCTAAGTCAAGTATTTCACCTTCAGCATCCACGTCCATCTCGCCGTCTGCGTCCGCATCTGAGTCTTCTTCCTCATCCTCATCCTCGTCATGCGGGGTTTTCCGCTTTAACGATAGGCTGGGAGCTGGAGAAGGACTAGGCGCACCAGAAGGGGTAGGGGTTCCCGGAACAGGAGTGCCAACTTCAGATCTTATTGAAGCAGCTGCAGAAAGTGCATTGGTAGCCGCCTTCTTCAGCAGTGACTGCCCGCGGCCCTTGCCAGGCGCCTTCTTTCCGATAGTTTTCTTGCTCGCTGGGCCTGTTTTTGGACGGGGCCACTCAAGGTCTCTGCTGATGATGAGGCGGGAGCCTGGCACCCACTCGTCTAAACGCTTGTTGAACTGGTCCCAGTGAACAAAGAATTCGAGCCGGTCGGCAGGGTTGTGAGAGTCCTCCTGCTTGACACCGCGCACACCGTATGCATTTGTTGGCTTATCACGTATAGACAAGATTTCAGCGAGTCGTTCCTCGGTCTCGCCATCGGGATTCTGGCGACGAATGTAGATTTTGCACCCCACAGAGACAGTCTATTGAGACGCGTAAGCCGGGTGGCGCTAGGATCCGATAACGCGTGCCACGTAGCAAAAAAACACACACTTGCCTGAAGGCTGTATGTCCCGCCTGGAGTAATTGGAGGCGGCTCCTGAGATCCTTCGTCTTTGGGTGTGCCGTGAGGTGCCATAATAGAGAGCAAAAGATAGGAGCTAGCAACCTCTACAAGATGGTCCACAAGCTGCTCGATTCATATGTTTGGGTTTTCTGACATACTATATGACTAAGCAAAACTCGGGTGGCTAATACACTAAGTCAAAACATTTTCAAAGGTGGCATACTACTAACAACTGTAGACAACAATCCTCAATCACTCCAATGTCCTAGAATTCTGGGATATCTTCTCCAGAGCAGACGTGTCAGCGATCTGGAACTCAGAAACACCAGTCCTAACCATTTTGCCGCCTTTCTTGGTCAGTCGTCCTTGTGCTCGCACGACCTGCTCCATTCGTCTTTCCGCGGCTAGGACATTCACGTCGTCGTCCAGCTGTCCACCCTTACCATCGTGTTGTTTCGACTTGGCCAAAAATGCGGGTTTGGAGCGCCCTTTTCGTTTCGCTTGAGACTTATTCCCTGAACTATTGACGGCGCTCGGCGCCTCACGGAGGGCGAACGCTTTAGCGAGATGCCCAAGATGAAGATGGCGTATATGGAATATGTGTTTCTCATCGGAAGGATGTGTGGCGTATGCCCTCATATGGGACAAGTAGGCTTTTCGTGCAGCCCCAGCGTTCTGAAAGGAAATATCAGCACAAATCGTTGGAGAGGAACGAACAACCTACCTCCTGACTTCTCAAGACCCAGCGCTCAAAGGATAACTGAACCTCAGTCGCACGTTGCTCATACTCGCTCCCTTTCCCCCCAAGGCCTCTTCTCAGTACATTCTCCATCGATACTCCTTCCAATGCAATATTCTTCCGCTTCTCACCCCTGTCATCGTGGCCGGAGGAACCTTGGATCTTTTCTTCAACCCATTTCACCCAATCTGCCTCGCTCGGTGCCACAATACTCCATGCCTCACCGCCCTTTCCAACACGTGCTGTACGCCCGACACGATGGATGTATTCCGTGGCACCTCCCTCGGTGGGAAGATCGTATTGCACAACCGCACGAACAAGAGGAAGATCTAGACCACGCGATGCAACCGATGTACACAGAAGAACCGACGACGAAGGATTGTCTTGTGACCTTACAGACGGTGTAGCAGAAAATCCACGCAGTGATGCCAATCGTGTTTGCAAAGGTAGCGAACCGTGTAGTCGAAATATAGATGCTTCTGGCAACAGCGCGGATTTAACTTCTACATTTCCCGGTAAGTCGGGGTCATCTGTTCTGCGTGGAAAAGACCCCTCATTTTCGATACCATCTTCGGACTTTCCTTCAATGTCAGAAGGTGACAGGTCCTGATCGTCGTCCATGGAGGTTCCTCCAAGAAGGTGCCAGTGGAAGTCCACGGAGTCAGTACAGCTGAGGAACACAATGATTTTGGTACCTCTTTTAGTCTGTGATTGCGCTAGAAGGGACCGAAGCAAGGCGACGAGCGTGACTAGACGAAGTTTGAGCGGAACAATAACGTATTTTTGGGACAATTGCGATGGAGGGGTGAAACTCTGATTGCTCGGCGCAGAGTCCACTGTACCGCCGACTTTGTCCTCGCCATTGCTATCCGGCGTGAAGAGGGCATTATCGGTCGCTTTGATTACCACGGGGTCCTTTAACGTCGTGCCCGCCAGTTTCTGGACGTCCTCTCTAATGGTCGCCGAACAAAGCACAGTGCGTCGCTTCCTCTCCCAATCCCAGCCACCTACCTCCATGCTATTTCCCTCCTCAACCGCCTGCATTGCTAACTTGCGTCTCCCATCCAGACCTTTCAAAATCCCTTGGATGCTCTCCTCAAACCCAAGGTCCATCAAACGGTCCGCTTCATCGAGCACGAGCCAACGGCACTTTCCAACATTGAATGACTCTGTATTTTGCAGGTGATCAAGCAGACGGCCCGGCGTGGACACCAGAATGGGGACGCCCTTGCGGAGGCGTGCCTTTTCGTGCGTCCGCGTGGAACCACCCGTCAGAAGACCAGAAACAAGCCAGCGCGTCAGACGTGGTGCGGCGTCTGATTGCTGGGCCGATTCGTCTTGTGGACGAAGGCGCAGTTTGAGTAGCGTATCTAGGACGTCAGATATCTGTTTTGCCAATTCTCGCGTAGGTGCAATTATTATGGCCAGAGTTCCGATGGAACGATCGATGAAAGATAGGGAGCTGAGCGGCAGGAGGTCTTGAATGATTGGAAGTAAAAAGGATAGTGTTTTCCCCGAACCTGTTTGCGATTGAATGAAAACATCCCTTAACGAGTGATCTTGGGAGGGTGCGGAAATGAGTATAGGAAGTGCCGTTCTCTGGATTGATGTTGGCTGGGATATACCCATCTTCATAGTGAGATGTGTAACAACTAGGGGATCAAGTCCTAACCCAGCAAAGGTCGAAGAATCCGCAAGGGGCGCATTGCTAGGATGAGAAATACTCCTCGGTGCTGTCTCGGCCAGATCCTCTATCTTGGGATTGGAAGTGAAGAGAGATGAGATGATCTGAGTTGGGGGACGGTTGCTAGAGGTAGTGCGCTCCTCAACCGGGGCAGCTGGAGATGAAACCTGCTCTTTACGGAAACGTTTTGCTGGGCGTTGCTCATTCCGGTTCGTGTCTAAACGATCAGAAGTATGTTCGTCGGATCTTGTCTTCCGCTTTGTGACCCGTTTGGCTTTTAACCTGTATGCAACATTTGTGTGAGCTTAGTGCACAATTCCACAACAGAGCAGGCGTACCGATCGGTCCATCTCCCTCCCTTCTTCGCCGCATGAGACGTCTTTGGCGCTACTATCTGGTCGTCGAGGGCAAGGTTGAGCACGAGTCCATCGTCCATCGCGGTGAGCACAAACCTGAACGGAAAATTCGCGGCAGAGTGATCTGGGCCGTGTCGATCGCCCTTATTCGGCAAGTGCCATCTCCCCACCTATTCGCGCCACGTTGCTCTTTAGGATCTCTCATTTTACTCTCACAAGCTGCTTCGCTCCCTACCATTACTGACTCTGGTTGCGACATGTTCATTCGGCGGCTGACGCTTGGTATAGTCCTTCTGACAATTGCGGCATTCTTCTGCGCACAGTCAGTTGAGGCTGCTAAAGGCCCTAAGATCACCAACAAAATCTACTTCGACATTGAACATGGTGGTAAGAGTATGGGTCGTGGTACGTGTCATATGTCCATCAGGCGATTGTATGCTAATTGGACGCGCACCTCAAGTTGTGCTTGGGTTGTATGGTGGTGTACGTACCGTTCCTGGTTTGCGAATAACTGGGACTAATGTATCCCATGTCCGATTACTAGACCGTCCCCAAAACCGCCGAGAATTTTCGGGCTCTCTCTACTGGCGTGAAGAAGGATGGAACAAAGCTTGAACCTGGTTTCGGATACAAGGGGTCCAAATTCCACCGTGTTATCAAGAACTTCATGATCCAGGGTGGTGATTTCAGTATGTGGCTAATGTATCCGTTGATGTGGTCCGGTCTTTGTTCTGACCCAGCTGTCACGTAAAGCGAGAGGGGACGGCACTGGCGGCAAGGCAAGTCCGCTGACTGCGAATTCGATTGCGTGGCTCATTAGATTTGACTTCACCAACTAGTCCATCTACGGCGACAAGTTCCCTGATGAGAACTTGTGAGTGATCTCCGTGAGCGGTATTACTTGTAATCTAGACAGCTGCCACAGCAAACTGCGTCACACTCGTCCTGGCCTTCTCTCAATGGCCAATGCGGGCAAAGACACGAACGGTGAGTGCCACCGTTCTCCGGGATTTTGATATGTCCGCTGATTCGCCGAATCGATTTGGACAGGCTCTCAGTTTGTAAGCTTCTTAAGTTATAGGATGCATAGTGGACCACCTGACAATTCATCAGTTCATCACCACTGTTGTGACATCTTGGTTGGACGGCAAGCATGTTCGTAAAAGAATTCTTTGGCTTCATCGTTTCAGGCGCATCGTTGACTGAACCGTGCCTCAGGTGGTTTTTGGTGAAGTCCTAGAAGGTATGGATATTGTGAGGGCCATTGGTAAGTTGTGGTATTCTCCCGCTGTCCGCCTTGACAGAACCTTACCGCTGGCTGTATTCTGCAGAGGATATTCCGAAGGGTAGGAACGACCGCCCGACAGAGGATGTTGTAATTGTCGACTGTGGCGAGGTACCGAGTTTCATGTTATGAGGATATTGCAATCTCTAACTCTTTCTTTTCACAGTTACCTCCGGACGCCAAGGCGGAGACTGAAGAGAATGAGGTGCCTCTTCGTGCTGAGCTATAGTCGCCAGCGTTTTATCTGTTTCAGTAAAATGTGATATGAATGCATTGCATTGCTGTCGGCAGGTCTCCACTTCGCC